AACCAGTTGAGGGCCATATTCGATCAGATCATTGAGTTTCAGAACGCCCAGGACTCCTTGTATCGCACAGCGCTAGAGGAACTTGCTTTGCGGCTCCAGTTTGAGGAGAAGAAGCAGCAGAAGGAGAAAGAGGTAGGAGGCAGAGTGAAGGATTACAGTATATGTAATACATTTTGCATTCTCATAAAGTACAAGGAATGGAATGTTGTGGACATCCAATAGTGTATTGTAAGCTGACTGTCCTTCAATTGCTGATTAGGGTCAGTGGGGAGTTACGGCTGCACAAGAAGCAGAGCACAAGAAGAGAATTGAAGAGTTCCAGGAAACCATACCAAAGATGCGCTCCCAGTTCCGCATTCTTGCCCACTTTTATCAAGTACTAGCCTAAACTTCCTTTATGAGCCTCTACCACTCCTTTACATTCAGTGTTTACAATTATTCACCGTTTTCTTTTCAAATGTTCTCCGTTGTCTTACCCTTACTCCCCTTCCCTCTTTTAGAGCATCGTCCAGCAGTTCCTGGTGTTGCTGATGACAAGCCCAGATGAAAGTCTACGTTTCCTCAGCTTTAGACTAGACTTCAACGAACACTATAGGTTGGTATTATAAATTATTGTTTGAAAAGGGCAGGAGTGTAGGTTTAAACACCTACTTTAGTGTCTATTTTTCTTTTCTATAACTTTTTTTAGCTGTGCTCAGACATAATTATTGATTCAATGTTTTGGGTTTAAGATATAAACCCAAAACATTGAAAGCCAGTCACCCATCAGAATTTCAAAACATGTCTTTCTGATATATGTCTTAATGGAGTAAAATTTATACAGGTGCTTATTTTGTAGAAATCTGGTCTTTATACAAAATAGCATCTGCTTATTTTGTATAAAGACCAGTTTGCTACTTAATGGTTTTCACAAAAAGCCAAACATTTGGAAGCTACAGCAGATCACATTAGTTTGAGAAGATCATCTCTCTATTGGCATACTTTGCATAAACTAAACATGATCCTATTGGCAAGGTATAGATATACTGTATATGTATATTTTTTCTACTTACATACTTAGTCAGTTAACAAGTGGAGTGTAAAAAGGAAGTGCCAATGCCAGTAGATGTTTTATAATCTGCCAAAAAGGAGAACTGTGTCTCTGTATATCTGTGGTTCTCCACCCATATTACCGTGTGAGGACCCGCCATTTGTTTAACTCATTGGCAACTGCTGGACAACTATCATGTACAACCCAAAAGCTAAGCACAGCTGCCTATTTAGCCCAGCGTTCATATGAATGGAGCATGTTATAGAAACACTAGAGGCTCTAAAGGTGGGTTGTTGTCCGTAACATGTCAGTGAACCAGAGGGAAGAAAATTAGTTAACCCCAGAATAAAAGCTGTGAATAAAGGCCAAACCTTTATTAGCTACAATACAAGTAGAATGGCAAACTTATAAATATGATATATATATATGTGTATATATATATATATGTATGTATATATGTGTGTGTATATATATATATGTGTGTGCATATATGTATATGTGTGTGTATATATATATATGTATGTATATGTGTGTGTATATATATATATGTATGTATATATGTGTGTGTATATATATATATGTATGTATATATGTGTGTGTATATATATATATGTATGTATATATGTGTGTGTATATATATATGTGTGTGCATATATGTATATGTGTGTGTATATATATATATGTGTGTGCATATATGTATATGTGTGTGTATAACCTTAAAGTTCTATATAATATGGCTAAGAGGAACAGTTGTATGTCTTACATTACTTCATTAACTGTTTAAATGTGTCAGATGAAGACTCTAGTGTAACTATTGTCTCTGCAGGGCCCGAGAGCCACGTCTGCGAGTTTCACTTGGAGCCACCAGAGGGCGTCGTCTTTCTAATATCTGAGTTGCAGATGAAGAGCAACAGATCCAGTTGCCATATCAATGGCGTACAACTTCATTGACATGTTTAGATGATGTCAAGCATTGGATAGACTGGTGCGATACCTTAACAGTGACCCAGAGGAAAGACATGAAAGCAGATGCTGAACAGTCAAGTCAGTCGAATAATTTTAATCAGTGTAAAGGTTAACACATTGCAATCACAAAACAATCAGCAAAATGTAAATAAATACCTGAATAATGACGTTTTGATGCTGGGTAGCAAATGTATTTCTCTGTGAAGTTTATTGGTCCATGAGAAAACAAGCCATGGTTGAAGGTCTAGAAACACAGTACTCAGTGGTTTATAGTCCAGTGGTGCCAATGCATATGACAATGTGTGTACAACATACATATGTACTCAAGGGGCTCTACAGCAGGGGTGTCAAACTCCAGGCCTGGGGGCTGCTTCTGGCCCACTGTTGGTCAGATGTTAATAACTTAATTCTGCCTTTGGGTTAACTTTTTATATAAGTCATTTTTTTTTCTTCTTCTAGTTTTTTTAATGCATATTTAGTCATTGAAGAATGAACATTTGTACTGGCTGTTTGCACTGTAGCACTATGTAGTATTTAAAGTAAACAAAAACTTTTGTCAAATGAAACAATGACTGCAGTGGCCCTCAGGTCATTTGAGTCAGAGACCCCTGCTTTAGAGACTGCCTTCTCTGCTGACGTCCTCTGACTGGCTACCTCAACCACAATAACATTATTTAAGTACACTGAAAACAAAGCCTGATCTGATACACTGGCAGATTCTTCCAGATTTTGCCATAATATATAGACAGCATAAATGCAAAAACATGTTTATTCTTTTTTTTTTTTTTGAAAATGAAATTGTAGCACACCTAGTGGTAATAACAGTAACTGCAGTTATATTAACATAAAAAGAAATGCACTTAAATCAATGAAGACCATGGAAAATATCACATTTGATTTAAGAAATTAACCTTTATGGTCACATCTGCATTTCCCCCAGAAATGTGTTCACCATTTGGTTTGCAACAGGAAATAACATGCTTGACTTCTGACTAGTAAACTGGTTAATAGAAAATCATTTTCTGGAACGTGAACTGCTTCTTAGTGTATTTTAGTTAATGCCGTGATGTTTGTACCAGATGGCTCTGGTCACCCGCCACCGTCCATACTTTGACTTTTTGTAAATAGCAGAATCAAGTGTACAAATGTCAACATATCTTGTCAAATATATAAATATGTCCTTGTATAAAGCATTTCATTATTAAAATTTTATAATGACTCATTTAAATTGTCAAACTAGCCTATATATATGTATATATATATATTCTTCAATTGCTTTTTTTATGTTGTTCATGTAGAACAATGTTATAACAATTATTGATTCTCGCAATGGGGAAATTTACAGTGCAAGTCTTTGCAACTGACACAGGAGGCGCCATTAGGGTATGTGTTTCCCCTGGTAACTGAACCTAGACTTTGTACACACACACAGCAATACAGGTTTAGTTTTTCTTCACATGCAAAGAAAACCAAAACCTAATTTTCAATTGCTGCAATTGCTTGGACTCAACATATTGTCAATGATGGGTCCCTTTTTTTCAGGTTTGATGGCCTGAAAAGAGAAGGTGTTGCTAAGTTTGTTAAAGGTAACGTTCATGTGATTGTTGTGTTCAACAAAACTGAATTCTAAAGAATTGGTCGTATTGAGAATTCAAATTGGAACTTGTTACATGCTGTGTCTGATTTATTCTTTTTATGGCTCAAACTCTTTCGTATAGTTTGATGGTCCAACCTGACTGTATGAAACATCTTGGTAAGTCTACTCTAAAAGACCGTATTTGGACAATATTCAACTGCCTCATGTTGTGCCATTGATATTAGTGGTCATTTTGCTGTTGCCAAGATGCAAAACATCAAAATCTAAACCAAAGCATACAAGATCATTTTACATAGTTATATTAACAAAAATCGGTCTACATTTCTATATTAACACATACAGACTATGTTCAAACTAATAAGTGTGTTTGTGATATATAACAGTGGAAGTCGTTTCTGGATTATTGAATCTCACCATGCCATTTTTGCCACAAAGACCTGCTGTTTTGAGATCTTTGATGGCCAATACTTTAAAATGCTCTGAAGATACAAATAGGTTTGGGTGAGGTCATATTTTGGGTTCAACACCAGGAAGGCAACTGGACGAAGCAGGGTTTTTTGAAGATGTTTCACGTCTTCAAAAACAAAAAACCTGCTTTGTCCAGTTGCCCTCGATGTAACTATTTTTGGATTCAATGACCTGGATGACTGAGAACCTACACAGACAACACCAAGAATTCTGTTCTGTTTTTATGCCCATAACTACCAAGTGGTACTGTACTTTAGCAGCATGGAATTCCCCTTGAATGACCAGCAGTGATGGTCACTAATGTTGCTCAGGACACTCTGCGTTTGATCATGCAAGAGAGACCTACTAGGTTACAGTAGCTCTGCAGCATTTAGCAGCCACCCAGAACTGTATCCACCTGAGACAGGTGAAAGGTCGTCATGAATTTAAGCCTGTCCAGTTGCCTTCTTATGAACCTGTTAGGGTTCTCTGCTTGAGTGAGAACCTGCTTCTGACTTTACCTTAACTTTTCAATTATCAGCTTTATTTTTGTCTAGTTACTACAGAGTCTTGAAAAAGGATAATTTTAGCAAAAATGTTTGTAATACGAAATTCACATTTATATCTGACCGGCGTAGTACAGCGTCCTCACAGATTGACGGCGCTATCGGCTCTCTTTATTGCATGAGCATCTGTACCGCGCTTGCTCTGGATGTGGACGTGTGTAGTGGGACAGTGGGACAGTCACAGTCCGGACAGTGATTCCGAAGACAAAGCCTGAGGATGGAGTTCTCTGACGTTTGACATCACTGATCCGCTCCGCTGACACATTTAGTTTATTTGTTTGTTTTCGGTCCCAAAAAAAATGGCGGCGGGGGCGGCTGGCAGCTGGCATCCTTCACACAGCAGCAAATACTCGACCTCTCCCACAGGCAACATGCTGTACGACACTAGTCATGCGTTGGAATATACACAGGAGCTGCATTATAAAATGAGCAAGAAGATAGCACAGCTGACCAAGGTGCGTATACACGTCACTCAAAGGCTGATGAAGGGGCGCGTACACAAACCAACAGAAGGTTAATGTGGTTGTGCGTGTGTGTGCGCGCGCGCGCGCTCGGTTGCGGGTGTAATGTAATTGTGCACGTTTACAGCTGTACGTGTGATCGTACCGACACGGTACTAACCGTAGTGGATTATATAAGAGAGCAGGCAAAAATCATTCAATCATGTCAAATATAATCATAAAAGAAATCATCAAAAATCCCACAGATCAAACAAATCCGTGCCTTTGTTCTGCCTGTAATGGTTTAATGGTTTTTTTTAAAAAGGTATCATAATTTTTTTTCATCAGTAATCAACCCTGCTCAGCAATTCGTTACACAAATGAATTATTAATCAAGATTTTTTATATCAGAAAGTTAGTAAATCAGGTAACTTTACCCAAACTAATACTTGAGGTATTTAAGATTAAAAATAATCAATATTATTATTATTTTTTTGCCAGAGATGTTTTAACAGAATTGTGTGGAGTGGAGTGAGACACCAGGCAACTCTGTCCAGTTGCTGTAAGAATTCCATTTCAGAAATTGTAGGAAAAAATGAGGAATCTTCACCAACTTTATTGATTTACTTTGTTGTAAACATGGAGTGTTGTTTACATTTGAATTATCCTTCTCATTTATTCTATTCTCTTTCACTAATTCACTGGGAGACATGGCTGTGTTGACCGGTGATTTCTACATTGGAACACATTCCATTCCAGTCCCAGTGAATTCTGACCAGCCCCTCCCTCCTTTTGTAGGTTCATATAGTTCAATGGTCTTATTATACAACCTGTTCCTAACAGTGAGTTGTCCTTGAAGTAAATAACTTTGATCTAATTACTGGTTTGGAAATAGCATCACTTAAAATAAAATACAGAATCAACGTCATCAGAACGTCATCAGAATCCGGTTGGTGTAACAGTAGGGGGGGCTAGAGTTAGGGTTAGGGTAAATAAACTGCATATTTGTCATGTTAAAGTACACCAACAGTTGATTGGTTCCAGACAAGCTGTACATTTGTGGCTAATATTCTTCTGCTTCCAAAGAAGTTGCATATAAAGAAATAAAAATATTGACTTTTGCACCTTGACATTAAAGAGACCCAGAGTTGAAGTAACAGTGAGGGAAATGGTTTTGAGAAAGGATTTTGGTTTGATCCAATTATATGTCTTTGGATAATAATCAAAATTGTTCTTTTCCAAACCTCTGCTTGTCTCAGGTCATTTACGCCCTTAACACCAAGAATGATGAACACAAGGAGGAAATCGAGTCTATGAAGGAAGCCCATGAAGATGAGGTATGCTAATTCCATTCGTACTAACTTCAGCCAACAGTATGTATCAGACGTGTTCTGTGTGCCATGTCAGACTGGATATTGTTTCAGCATTAGCCAGCGCTGCTCTGTTTGTGGCTAATTCATGCCCACCAAGACTTCTTAGAGAAACCATTCACTCCAGGATTTGGTGATGTCACAGTCATTTGAGATTCCCACTCAGTCAGTGGATTGCCTCTAATTTCAGGGTATATCACAAGGCTCTCCGTTGTTATGTCACTTCCTGTTCTGCCTCGCAGCAATTTCCTGTGTGATACTTCAATAACGAGTCATGTCCAGGCAATGAATACTTAAAAACACTCAACATTCCCCAGTAAAATCCCAGTCTGACACAGTGCAGAGATTCCTCACATAAGAAGAGCCCAGTTTTTTTGGGCCACGTGCAGTGTCACAGTTGAACACCTGCAGAAATTGTCGCTTTACAAGCATTTCTGCCTTTGCACAACACATTTGAAGATGCAGCAGAAAACCAGATGCAAAAGTGGATTACATAATGGAGCAGAAAAACTGTGATAAGAGAAGTTTAAGTTGAAATGTTATTGAGCTAAATCATTTGGTTGCTAGTCGGTGAATTGTTTACAATAACTGATGTTAAAATATCCTCGCACGTGCAAGGTTGTCTTTTGTACCTGTTTTTACACTTGAACGTCTTGTTCGTCTAAAATATTGCAACTCAGTATTTAAGGAACAAAACACTTTGTCCTGCATTTTGGCCATTAATAAAGCTTACTGATAAATCCTGGAGGGACTGAGAGGTGGGACCTCAGTTGGCCCCCAAACCTTTAATATATAGTTGTTGTTATACTGTATAATATAAGGCCTGCTTTAAAGTTAATTTGCTTTAAACTTAAAACAACATGTTAGACCTTTGTTTAAATCTGTAGTTTGCAGTTCTGTTGATGTCACTGTGTTTTATATGACATTTCTATGACAGTTTCCTTCAAATGTCAAATGGTTTGACCACAAAAACATAACAAATAACAAAATAATTCACCCTCCTGGGAGACAAGTGTACTGATGAAAGTAATTAGTTACACAGGGAACAAGGAATAGGTGAGAGATGATGGACGGATGAATGGATGCATGGATGGATGGGTGGATGGATGACAGATGGATGGATGGATGGATGAATGGATGATGGATGGATGCATGGATGGATGAATGAGTGGATGAATGGACAGATGAATGAATGTAATGAAGGATGGATGGATGAAATCAAGATCATACATATAATAAAAAACGAGAGACACAATTGTTCAGACGTAACGAATGATTATGTCATTATTAACATAAATATGTCCTGTCAAATCTCTTCCACCGTGTGTCCTTGATTATTTGCTCAGTGCTAAGCAATTAGCCTACATGTATATATTTGCAAAACAAAAGAACAGAAACCCACGTGTAACTAACCTCATTATAACCTTATTGTTTTATTTTAGGTCCAGCACATTGTGTCAGAAACTAGGGACAAAATTATACAATATGAGAGCAAGATGGCCGACGAGGCGGACCTGAGGCAGCGGCTCGCAGGTCTAGAAGAATCTGTTGAGCTGCACGAGCACATGAAGAAGCAGGTCGTTCACTCACTGCTGCTAGAGACCAGACTCAGATGTTGAACTGATAAACTGTGTGTGTGTGTGTGTGTGTGTGTGTGTGTTCGTTTTCTTCGTGTGGTTTGTCACTAATGTATAATGTGTCACGGTTTTGTATTTTAAATCTAATCTGATGAGAACTGCCTCTGACCATCCTGAACTGTTGTGAATTCATCTGTGCTTCGTCGCCCTCTGCTGTCAGGCTTTGGCCGAGTTTGAGATGTACAGACAGAGAATGGAGGACTCCCAGCTCTGCACTGAGGCTCACCACACACAGAGAGTGGTTTCTATGAGCAGAGAGGTGAGGCCCACTACTCTACACACACTCAGGCATGAGCACACACACCCACACACACACATGATCCAAGTGTAACCTTCCGTCCTAACGCCCAGTCTAAAACATGGTATGTGAAGATAGAAAGGCTCCGAGCTGCTAGATAGTTGTTTAGTGACCAAGAAAGTGATGTTTGGATTGATTTATTTCGGGTTTGAAGAGATTTAAATGTCAGGACAGGTACAGTTGTTAAGTGTATGACGCCACCTAGAGTCCGCAGTTGGAACAACCAGTGGTTTAATATTCCCAGAAAGACCTTTACTACATTATTGTAGTGCATTTTCCAATGTCTTGAATTGATACTGGTGACAGCTGAATGCCAGGTCCTTTCTCAGGCTACCACACCCTGTGGTGTGCAGAACTTGTGTCAAACTTAAGGATCGGGGCCAAATGTGGCCCGCCAAGTTGTTCTGTGTGGCCGACGGAGCCTTAAAAAGCATTTAGTAAAGTCTATGCAGTTTCTTAACCAGTTTATTTATAACACAGCAGTGAACAATGTTTGTAGCTTGAATAAATAATAACCAGTTGCAGAAACATGTATTAGTCTGTTATGGAGTAGTTACATCTATACCAGTGGTCCCTGTTCTTTTTGTTCCAAGGACTGGTCAGCCAGTACCACCTGTTACTACAGACCAGTACCAAGGTACTGAGCGTTGAAGGATCATTGCCTTTTCAAAATAAAACATCTTTTAGACTCTATTCTGTTTCTATCAGTCTGAATGACCTATTATTTAAAAAAAAAAAAAATTAAATAAAGAAAGTAAATGGACATGACTGGATTTTCTTTGAATGAAGTAAATTAGTAAAAATGAAGTACTTTTGTTTTCGGTACCAAATGAGCTATAGACTGGTACCGGTCTGCAAACCGGGGCTTGGGGACCCCTGATCTATGCAGTCTTCCATTTATAACAGGCCCCTTTGAGGGGAACTGTGTTGCTGATGTGGCCCTCGGTGAGAATGAGTTTGACACCCTGATGTACAGTATAACATTTATAACCGTGATGCTTCGTAGTCACAGGTGACCAGCAGAGGAGTTCAACATTCTTTTCAGACAATTCCGTTCATTCCATGTCATGTCATGTCATGAATGGAACCAGTCCATGATGATCACTCCCAGTTGACATGTTGATGTTCCGTAGGCTGTAGAACCATGTCTGGATTAGGCTAGTCTGTGTTAGCTGCTGCCTCCTCCTCTCAGATCACTTGGCTTTCCCTTGGTTTTCTTGGACCTTTTTGTTCCACCAGCATCACATGACTTCACACCACAGAATGCAAGTTTTGTTTCCCCCAACGTGTTTGTGAGATTATTTGTTGCGACAGCAAACATGTAAATCTATGTTGCTGTTCTTCAATCTCAGTCAGTGTGGAGGGATTTGTGTGATGATTTGGACTCTTGGTAGAGCCAAGATTGACAGCCAAACGTGAACGAGTCAAAAAGAAATAGAAAATGTTCCGTGGTTTCAATAGGTGGAGGAGATGCGTCGGGATTTTGAGGAGAAGCTCCAGGCGTTCAGCCGGGCTCAAACCCAGTTTGAGGTGGATAAACGGCAAGCACTGGAAGTACTGAGGGCCACCCAACGCCTGGAGGTAGAACAACTCCTCAACAATCAGCGGAACCAGAGCGCTACCACCACTGAAGACCAAGAGAAAGTGGCTGAGCTGCATAGAAAAGAGGTGAGAGAGAGAGAGCGCGAGAGAGAGAGAGGAACACAGGTATATGTTGTTATCAGTTTGCCTACAGGAAGTACCTGAGGACGTTGGTAGAAACATTTAGGGTCTTAACTTGGAGTGTTTGCAGACTGACCACACGTGTTTGTTGCATGTCATTCACTCATTTTAATTTGATTTTGATTTTATTTCAGCCATTTACTCTTTAATATAACAGACACATCTCATTTGGTTCTGAATACTTATATATAATACGTATACTGTATATAATTTATTTATACAAATGGGATGTGGGATTTTGATCAATCCCCTTCATAGACATTACCCTGTCCTCTGGAGTGACGTACAGGGGAGCCAATCAGAGATTATCGCACGTGTCTGATGGACGGCCCCAGCTGCTGCTAATTTATTACTACTAAAAAGAGAGTAGACAAATAAGTGAGGGTCCGAGATCAAGCTGCAGTGTCATGATTTGGGAAACTTCAAAACCTTGAGTCAGAGCTGGAGAAACAATGGAAGGAGTCTGCAGTTTCCTGCTACGTCTGATGTTCACTGGAATCATAATTGTAATTAATCATGAGTAACCCGGATAATTCAACATTCCTAAGCAGGAAAGAAAACATTTTTCTGTATAATGCTGGAATCAAAAGACAAATACCATTAGGTCAGTGTATGTTTTCCTCCCGTTTTTTTAATTTCCTTTGAAAATGTCAGCGAAGCCTCTGTCCTCAATATTCTTAATCCATCTACAGTCCCTCACAATCCCTGGGTTTATCGGTCAATCCGCTTTAACTGGGTGTCTGACCTTAAAGTTGAAGATCCCACACACAAACACATGCTGGGCACTAAGACAGTGTTTTGATGTCAGTGAATAATGTCTGCCATTATGACGTATTAGACAGATTAAACATTGTTTGTACATTTTGACAACACACACACACATATATATATATATAGATATACGTATATATATACTATAATTTTCAAAGTAGCTCGTAGCCCAGTAGGTAGCGCTCTTTACAAATGTTGACAAATAAAGACCAGCTGTTCTAAAGGTCCTCCCACTTCTCTGTCTGTAGGTAGAGGCATTGATGGAGATCGTAGAGGAGCTGACCAAGGATAAAGTCCTCCTGGTGCAGGAGTACGAGGCCAAGCTGGCCAAGGCTCAGGAGTACTACGAGAGAGAACTAGAAACAATGAGGAGGACACACCAGTTGACAACAGAGAACCTGTTGGCCTGGAAGAGGACAGAGGTAAAAGCAGACACACATCAGCAGCATATTTATACTGATCCAAATACTAAGTACCAAGTACTAAGCTGATGATCCATTGACAGGATATCGGCAAAAGGTTAATATCAGACATCCCTAAAGACCATGTAGCAGTGAATGTTTTGGTGATCCTCTCCTGTTAAGGTTGAGCTTCGTAAAGAGTTCCAGGCCCAGGATGCAGCACTGCAGCGATCGCTGTCCAAGCTGCGCAGTGAGCTTCAGAGAGCTCAAGACGAGGCCAGAGAGAACCGAGACAAAACTAACAGGATGCAGACGTCACTGGCCAACGCTGAAGGAACCATCACGGTGTGTGCCTCTATGTTCTGTAGGCGTCAACCAAGTTACAGTAGAAGAAATAACACAGTAGAAGAAATAACACTTATCAGTACGTACATGCCTGCTAGACCAGTGGTTCTCCAACTGTTTCTGCTCTGTACCACCTGAGAAAACCCTGATCTCTCTGAGTCCCACCATGATGACCAACATTAGAATACAGCAGCAGAGGCCTTCACTGTTAGCTTCCACCACAGGAGAGAGGTTTAGACAGATGTTTAGGTTTACATGTTGTATTAATTGTGCATGGTATGTTTCAGATTGATTCAGTTGAAAATGTAAATGTGAAAATATGAATTTTCCCCACGTACCACTGTTCTAGAGAAGGTCATTTCCTACATTATTATTTAATACCAATTTATAAAAATTAGCAGAATTACACACATCCTCCCTGGACAATCACTAAAATCTAATGGTAATTAGAATAAAAAATAGGCACTGGATCCATAAAGAAGTCCCTGGATACTGACCAGGAGTCATAACAGCCCAGCTCTATTACAGCAGTGGTTCCCAGGTACCGTGCCAAGGCATTTTCCATCAGAGAACAGTTCTTAGTAACTGTGGATAATTATCCAATTAAAACTTTACTGCTCCACTTAATATAAAAACGAATATTTATTTACTGAGTAAAACTTGTGCCAAAACAGTCATAGGGATCTCATAAATGACTTCCCAGTCTGATTTATTTCATGTATTTATTCAGACACCAATCTAACAAATACATAAATGTATCCACAGCTGAATCATTTTTACATATTTTTTTGATGTGGTATTTTTTAGTAATTCATAACCCCGACCCTCCCACCCCCATTTGTTCGCTCATGTCTCTTGATGTGATACAGAACCTCCACAAGCAGCTAGAAGAAGCCATCCAGGATGGAGAAATCTGGACCATGCAGCTGAAGGACACTGAGTATGAGCTAGAGGGCAGCAGAGAACGAGTTCAGCAGCAGGCAACGGAAATACTTCAAAAAGCCAGTATGACAGCATGATACACGTGTATTAATGAATTAATGTTTGCATTGTTAATATTGAATTCACACTGAGAGACCTACAATGCATTCCCACATTCATTTTATTCAGTATTACATTATAACATTAATGGTAATATCATCTTTATTTTTATTTTCTTTTAGGTATCTGCAGTTTTATTAAATGGATGGATGGATGGATGGATGGATGAATGGAGGGATGGATCAATAGAGCGATGGATGGATGGATGGATGAATGGATGGACAGACAGATATGATAATAGCTTTAGTGGTTAGCATTGGACCATGTGATGTTTGTTGTTTATATTTAAGTAAAGATCTAAATCCACATTCGACCAACAGATTATTGTGACTGGTTGTAGGTCAGATTGGCTCCCTGCAGGCCACCCAGATGGCCCACGAAGCTACTATCAGAAATATGGATCTGGAGCAGAGCCGCCTGAAGGATAAGATCAACAGACTGGAGGAGGAGAGGGCAGCTCTTCTCAACCAGGGACAGGCATCTAATGAACAGCACAAACAACAAGTGGTCCAACTAGAACAGGTACAGTAAGCCCTGGTCAGCCTTTTGTCTAGAAGTGGTCAGTCTGTTGAGGTCCGTCTCTGCTGTCTTTGTCAGTCTCTGCGTGAGGAACATCAGGGCTATGAACGGGAGCTGGCCAGACTGAGGCTGCACATTGAAGAAGAGAGACTTCGCTTCAAGGAGACACAGATCAGAGCGACGGAGGAGATGGAGATGAAACACCAGGCCATGAGGGAGGAGGTGCAGCAGGAGAAGGACAACGAGAAAATAGTCCTCATGACAGTGAGCTTTTTTATACTCTACTATACTACTGGCAAAATGTTATGTCATTTATTTTTGAGGTGACAATTCTGGATAGATAGATAGATAGATGGATGGATGGATGGATGGATGGATAGATAGATAGATAGATAGATAGATAGATAGATAGATAGATAGATAGATAGATAGATAGATAGATAGATAGATAGATAGATAGAAAGATAGATAGATAGATAGATAGATAGATAGATTGATAGATTGATAGATTGATAGATTGATAGATAGATTGATTGATTCTTCCAGAGTCCAAAAATAGGATTTAGTTTCATTGCTGACCATGAATGACCACATATATGAATGTTTATTTGACTGGTAGAAATGAACTAATACACACAGTGATATAGCATATAATGTTTTTCAAACAACTGATGTTGTTCTATTTTGACGCCTCAGTCTCTCCCTATGCAGTGTTTTTATATTTCAACATTGTCAGCAGTTTGGAGGTGTTCTAACAAATGGGAGAAAGAAGAGATCAAGTCTGAATCTTGTATTCTCATTAAGACTAAATGGCACTAAATGATTAGAATAAACACCAACAATTCATTTTCATAAAACGTCTGTTTGTAGATTTTCATAGTTTTGTTCTAACAGTCCTGTGAACATCCCTCAGAAAATGAGTCAGGAGTTTGAGATTAAACGTCTGTCCCTGGAGGAGCAGCGAGACTGCCTACAGCAGCAGCTGGACAACTTAAAGGAGGAGCTCTCAGCCAAACTCAACATGGCAAACCAAGAGGTAGAACGTGTGCAGCGTTCCCTTCAGTTAAAAGTGTGTCGGACCTTTTCCGTTTTCTTACTCCTCTGGTCGTGTGGTTCAGGTGTCCCACCTGCAGGAGCTGGTGAGGGAGGGGCAGCAGAACCTGGGCTCCGCTCAGACACAAATCACATGTCTGAATGAAACACAGGAAAAACTCAAGGTGGAGTTGGACGCAACCAGAGCACGAGTCAGAGAGACCAGCAACCTTCTGACTGACCTGCAGGTAAGCACAGTAAGATGTTCTGAACTCAGGAACTCATCAGATATGTAATCCCATTTTCAACCACCAAGTTGGTCCTAAAAATACAAACAAACAAATATGCATAGATCATACTTCACTACTCACAAATTTTGAAAGGGATACTTGCCCTATTTTCTGGATAATAAGTCGCTCCAGAGTATAAGTCGCACCAGTGCCCTCTAGCGGCTGTTAGTGTGAAAATAACAAAGATGTCAATTTTGAGTAGTACAGGAGTAGCAGATACATCTCCACAAGCCTAGAGTGCCCTCTAGCAGATGTCAGTGTGAAAATAACAAACATTTGAAATTATATATTTTATAATTATAAATATAAATATATAATATAATTTAATATATATGTTGGACTGTAGTATAAGTCGCAAAAAAGTGTGACTTATAGTCCGGAAAATATGGTATACACAAAGGTCGAAAGGTCATACAAAGTTTCTTTGTTAGCTGTCTATATAGTACGTTTGAAGATTTAGTATGACTGTAGATTCAACCAAAAACTTGTTATCCCCACTAACGTTGTTAGTTGTCCAGATATTAGTTTCAAACTCAATAGTAGAGAATACATTTCAGAACACATTTTACTTCAGCTGGGGTGGCAGCTAATCTCTGACCTGGGAGTTTTTCTCAAGCTCAGTCATATTTAAGGAGGAGGAACTTATAGTACTCTGACAACTAGTTTTTGTGATACGCATACTTGATTTGGCCAAAGGTTTTACACATCTAGAATGGTCAGATTTAATCAGAATGTTACATCATGTGTCCACTGTGTGACACTGTAGTGCTGCAGCTTCTGGCATGTGAGTCCCTGTCTGTAATGTGGATATAAATAAATGATTCCAGAGACATCTGTGACATTTCCAACACACAAATCAAATGGACCTTCATATCTGGCTGGAACATCCACATACTGGTGAAAGGCTAAAAGCACGCCACCTAGTCTGCAGCTGTTAGGGTCCACCATTATTAAAAAATGTCACCTGACCGCTATAAATCACTATGGCATGTTTCATCGCTCATTTGTAGGATTTCAGGATTCAGTGTTGTGGCAGAACCTTAACAGACAGAAGCATGCTGGGAATGACTGCAAAGATCCTGAAGATGTTACAGTCAGACCTTTCACACTTCGACAGCTTTAAATATATGTCTAAACCACCAGACCAACTTTGTTTCCTAATTTAAAACCACATGCAAATACCTTGACCTTGCACCAACACATTCAGGTACCTTTTGTTCTCACAGGAGGAGATTGGAAATCAGAAACAGCAGCACGAGGCCAGAGTCATGTCCATACGAACAGAGGAGAAACAGAAAATGGAGAAGATGGCAGATGACATAGAGCAGAAATGGAGAGATGCTCTTCAGTAAATACCTCCTGTGTTTTGAAGCATTTGTGTTGTTTGTCTCTAACCCAGTGTTTACCAACCTTTTTTCGAGCCACGGCACACCACCAAACAAAAATCTCATATAATGTTTGTCTAATTAAATTTTTAAGTTTTAAATTTACCTAAAATGTACTCCTGTTTAGTTGAAGACAACACTGATATACTGGCAGGAATTGAAGAAAGACACTTACAAAGATCTTCTTCAACAGCTCGGATTTTCTTTTTTAATTTTCATAGCCATCTGCTGCCACCTGGCAAAAGAGTGCTTCATTGTACTCTTAAGTTTCAATTAATTAATAATAATTTATAGACCAACTACATGTATTATGATCATTTTTCGCAGCACACCTTATGACCTCTCACGGCACACTAGTGTGCCACGGCCCAGTGGTTGGGAATCACTGCTCTAACCAACAAACAGCAGTGGTTGGGAATCACTGCTCTAACCAACAGCATTCCTTGTGTCAGTGTCAGATGCATATGGCCGACGGAGGATTCTAACGCCTGAGATAAATATCTTTGCGGTCTTTGTCCCTGCAGAGAAGAGGTGCGTTTACTAAAGGAAGAGCTGAATGAAGAGTACGAAGCAGACAAGCAGGCCGTGCTAACGCAGCTGTCCCAGCAGAAGGAGTTAGAGATGATGGCTGTGAGAGAAAGCTGGCAGAGGAAGGTGGAGGATCTGCTGGAGCAGGTAACAGTGCTGCAGGGGGAGCACTGACAAACAACTGACATTTAGTGGCTACACCAGCTGATCTAGACACCGTGAAATGATTTAGGTGTTTGATTAAATGTGAACACACTTAATAGAATACTTTTAACAATGAAGAAATAGATTCACCTCTGATGTCAGTACAGTTTCTGCATAAATTCTGACGAAAAAAATGTAGAAAAACAATAATACTATTTTTACAGTGGCACTTGATATTATTATTATTATTATTGTTATTAATATTATTAATAATATTATTAGTGTTGTTGTTATTATTGTTGTTATTATTATTATAAATATTGCAAAAGTAAGACTGTTGTCCATGAATTGATCAAATTAGTCTCATGAAGGAAGAGGTTCATTGGTGTAACCCAGTTACATAACTTGACCTTTCACAATAAAACCAAATTTTGCAGGGATTATTGAGGAGGAATATGTAAACACCAGACTTTGGTTTGAAGAATTAAAAATATTTTCATAAGAATTTCAATATTTTTTATAATGATTTATGTTTATCTATATTTTGCTGAGGTCATACCATTTGACACATATACTAATCATACCTGACCATGACCTGAAAATGCTTTGTTTGGTCAAATTTTAGAGGGTGTTGCTGACCTTGACTTGGCAGTTGGGGTCCTCAGGGGTCCTATTTTTTAAATTTTTTTTTTTTTTTTAATATCTTCTAAAACTGTTGTTCTATACATTGTTGAGTGGCTCGTCTTTGCATGCTTGTGATTATGGTGTAAAGGTTAAATTCAAATCTTATCATTTCTCAGAATCCAAATGATCCCAAAAATGTCTTTTGACATCGTACAAATATATAAAACTTGTTTGGTCTTAAATGTTTAAGTTAGAACACCGATTAATTGCTGTTTTTCTGTGTTTCTATATATTCAGATCTCTCTGTTAAAACAGTCTCTGGAGCTGCAGTTGTCTCAGTCCCAGTCAGCTCTCCAGCAGCTGCAGTCACAGTTTAGCCAAGAGAGGGATCTCCTGAACCAGCAGCTGAAAGGTAAACCTAAAGTCTCCACATCATCAGCTTTCTTTCACCACTATCAAAAATCTCTCTGTTTTAGACACAATGCTTCATGACTGCCAAGAGTAAAATACAGCTGGAAAAGATTGTAAACAAAATAATAATGAAAAAAAATTCATTTTTAAGTATTATTATTATTTTTACACTTATTTGATTGTTTATGCAGTGGTAAGGCTTTACATAAACAAAGATGTGGATAAATATGCAAACCAGCTTCTCCATCTGTCTTTATCTCTGTCAAGATGCTCATTCCACCTTGTTACCAATGTAGCCTGGCACATTCTGTATCATGTTTTGGCAGAAATGCAGAGAGAGCATCAGAAGAGAGAGCATCGGCTACAGGATGCTCACTGCTGCGCTCTGGGCACCATGGAGGAGGCCCGACAGCACCAGATCAGGGTAAAACATGTGTATGTGCTGGAAATGATTGTCGTCTAAGACACATTTGGAAACCCACAGACAATGCTACAAATATGCAAAAATAACAACCAAAACATCAACTTTTAGAATATATCTTCTTTGTTTTATTCACTATTCAATAATTGTTACATTTGTTTAGCATAAGAAAATGATCAACAAAGAGTCCTGAAAATCACAGAGTTATTGCATACTAATTCTAATAGCTGTAGAATAAGATAATAATAAACAACAACCCGGGCTGCACCATTAGGGATATGTGGTTCCACCTTTGTCTCACCCCTTCTTTTTCACTCTCTGCTAATTCTAATGAACCTCCTTTCTCCTGCTGTCTGGCAGGCCCTGGAGGAGCGGCTGAAGCAGGAGCAAAGAGAGGAAGTCCATTCACTGAAAGAGGCCCACAGAAGAACTATAGAAATCCTGAGACAGCAGTCAGACCAGGAGCTGCAGACCCTGAGGTTTGAACTGGAGGACGAAGGCAAAGCTAAGCTGGGTAACTACATTGTGTGAAAGTGGCCCCCGTTATTGGATTTGTGACATTGTAAAGTGGGTGATTATAATACAGTAATACAGGCTGGACCATTGTGTGGTTCCAGCTGTGCTACCACTCCTACCAGTACAAGGATCTGTCATTTTCTTTACAGCAGAAATTAATCATCAGCCTAAAAACTAAACACAGCTGCCCAATCAGCAACAAGCTACAGTATAACAAGTGTAAACACTTGATAACGCCATAAGTGGGTTGTCATCTCTGGCCACATGGGGGAGGCAACCTTTGGGGCTGGACAACTTTACCCGGTTGAAAGGTTCATAGTGCATTAAGGAGTGTTTTATTCAAACAAAAAAAATCCTTAAGAGGGCCGTGGTCGAACAGTGTCACAGCGACAATAAAGAACTGGCACATAAACTGTAAATTGTATAATGATCATTTATGCCAAAACACTGGCTTCCAATGTCTTTTGACTAAAGATATTAAATGCTTCGTGGTAAAAGAGGAGTGCGCTGGTAACTACGGCCAAGGAATGAAAAAGATCAGTCACGATCTATGACTAAGAGTTCTCATAGCAAAGCTAAGGCAAATGGTAAGGTTTTCAGATGAAATTTCCTTGTGTCTTGTTGGACACACCACTGTTTTAGGCTAAAAGTTGGAGTGGAAAATTCAGCTTAGCAGTCATGGATTGGCAATGAGCCCTTTTTTTTGCAAAGGCGATCAAAGTTGTTGTCTTCACTGGTGAAATAGCTATGCTATTTTTACTCAATTGTCAAAATACACTACAAAAAAAGTACTCAAAAATACTACAGATGTGGCTTAAAAACTGAAAGTTTTTGGGAAAGAAATAGAAATCAGTGAAAAAATATTTATATTTGTCTAATATGTTAAATATTATTTGTGGTTTTAGTTTCAGAGTTAAATCTAGCTGCCAGTGTTAGTGGTGCTCTGTTATGCAGTGTGGCTTAGAGTGGAGTGGTTTATCAGACAAGGTATATTTTGGTCAGGGTATTTGCACTGTGACTGTTGGGGATCTCAGCCTGTATACAGACATGGTCTGGTCAACAGCGTGGTCTCTCCCTCTCACAGCCTCTCTTCGTGCTGAGCTCAATCATCTTCATGCCACAGCCATTGAACATCTCAAGCAGATTCACCTTAAAGAGAACAGCACTGCCAGACGTGAGCTGGAAAAGGCCATGGAGCTGAGCCACCAGCAGGTGATGGGTCTCTAAACATCCCTCTGTCCAGAGCTCTGCTGGTGTGCTCACCAAACAAGTCTCTGTGTGTGTGTGTGTGTGTGTGTGTGTGTTTTAAAGGAACAAGAGCTCCTGGTCCGCATCTCAGATTTAGAGGCAGATGTGTGTTCACGTAGCAACCGCATCACTGAGCTGGACCATGAGGTCCACTCCCTGAATGACACCATTGACACTCTGACCAGAGAGCTGGAGATCAAGGGCAAAGAGGTTCTCAGGGTTCGAAGTGAAGCCAACCATCAAATAAGGTAAGAAGCCTCAGCTAACAATTACAATAATAAACAATTTATTACAAAGCAATTCAAGTATGACGTTTTTCAACTGTGTACTTGGTTAAATTGGTTTCAATAAATATGCAGTAAACTGGAATGCAGTGTTATATATATATATAGGTCAGTGGTCCCCAACCTTGTTTGTACCAAGGACCAGTCAGCGGGTATCAGCCATTACTGACGCCATTGTTGAAGGATCATTGAATTTTGAAAATAAAACATCTTCCAGTCTTTCTTCTGTTAGTATCAGAGTCTGAATGGCCTGTTGTTTTCAAACACTCACAGATTATCTTTGAATGAAATAAGTAAAGGGATATGACTGGATTCTTTTTGAATGAAATGAAGAAACCAGGCAGGAAACCCCTTACAACCATAGATAGATGGATAGACAATTCCTTTGACAATCGCCACAGTCCTGTTGAGCTGCTGTTGTTCCTACACCACACAGTTGCCAGACCAGAACGTGGGACTGTAAGTCAGGAGCTTTTTTTTCCGTCTTGCAGGGCACATGAACAAGACCTAGGAAAGAGACATGAGAGAGAGCTGGGGGAGATCAGCATGGTTCACCACAGAGAAACTCAGATCATGCTGTCTGACTTCAACAAGGCCCAAGAGGGCCTCAAGGACAAGATTTCTGCTCTGCAGATACTGTAAGTGACACAATCAAAGGCATTCTGCTGCTTTACCTGTGTATCAGCTCACACACTGTCAAAGATGATGTTCCTGAAATGCGTTTTAAGGTTAGAGGGTACAGAGGAAAAGCTGAGGCACAGAGAGAGCCGCCCAGAAGATCTGCATCTCATCGCTGAGCTCAGAGAGATGGTCACAGAGAGAGAAGCTCTGGTCAAAAAACTGGTGGTAGGTAAAATATATTTGTCTATCACTCTATTATATTGAATTTGAAAACACATTATTATAAGACATAACCATCACCATCATCATTTTAAAGACAATAGGATAATAATATAGGATAATAAGATCATTTGCAACTCATTTACATTAATACACTTCCTATTCTCCCCAGATTATGTGGTAACAGCGCCACAGGTGGACATTTGCTCGTCTCTGCCTGTCAGTGCCTCTGTTTACTCTAGGATGTTTATCCTTTTCCAGGATGATAAGAAGTTCTACCAGTTGGAGTTGGTGAACAGGGAGACTGGTTTCAACAAGGTGTTTACCTCCAGTGCTAATGTTGGTGTCATTAACCCCCTCATCAAGGTGAGTGCTGTCATTACCCACTGCAGTGTTTCCCAACCTTTTTTTTCGGCACATATATATCATCAGGAAAGATCCCCACGGCACATCACCAAACAAAACATAGTATATGTAATGAAATATGATAATCTTCTAGTTTACATTGACTAAAAATGGACTCCTGTTTAGTTGAAGACAATGCTGATATACTGGCAGGAATTGATGAAATACACTTACACACCTTCAACAGCTCTAATTATTTTTTTTATATTTAATAGCCATCTGCTGCCACCTAGAGGACGAGTATTTGATTTTTCTGCCTGTCACGCATGAAAAAAGTTTTTAAAAAAGTACTTGCAATAAATAAATAATAGTTTTGGGACCAATTAGGTGAAATTTGATGATTTTTTGCAACACAGCTAATGATCTTTTGTGCCAACCCAGTGGTTGGGAATCACTGACCTAGAGGTCGGACTGGGGGAAGTTAAACAGTAGTAAACTACTATCTGTTTGTGACAGTAGTTTTTTTTTACTTGAATACACAGACTTTGGTCAAGTTACATTACTCTTCTTTGGCAGTTGTTTCTGACTCAAGCACTCTTGATCTTTTATTTACAGAAATTATGACTTACCTGGACTTGGGCACCAAGGACTTGTCCTGCCATTATCATCTTTCAGATTCAGATGTTGGAGACTCTGAATCTTTGACATATTATCTAACTTGTTTTGAAATATATCAAAAAATCCTCTGTATATGAGGATAAATATGAAGCCGGTGTCATATGAAGAACGAGAATGGAACATGAAAAATAAAGAATGCAGGTTGCTTGATATGGATTTTTTTCTACACTGATAACCAGGTCCTTGTGGCTAATTCTCATATAATAACTGATCATTTTATATTTTTTATGTAAGAAATAATGATATGCATATAACCTTTCATTTGTTCACCTGAAGATTACAAATCCTGAGATGTGGGTTTCTATCACAGTAAAAACAACATTTCTAAATCATATCTACATCTGCCTGTTCATTTCTTTTGTTAAGGTTGGTTTTGGAAGTCAGTTTATATGAATGGAATTCTTTATTTTATGATTTGTTTTTTGTTTTCTTGCTGGGGATGGGGGTGGGGGGGTTAGGCATACTTGCTTCTTATGTTTCTAAATGTTTAGATGTTATGTCATGTTCCTAATGTTTAGTAGGTAGTAAGAACTGGTCTTTACTGTCTATGTGCTTCATAAAGGCAGCCTGGTTAATATTTAAGAATGAATATTAAAGGAAAGACTGTACTATCATTAAGTTAAGTAGCTATAATCTCTAAATTGTGTTTAAGCTTCTGTAACAATAATGAATATGATCAGAAGGTTCTAAATAAGCAACAAGAGCTAATATATCTTTTATTAATGATATAATTTAATCTGAATCCTGAATATTTTTCTTAACCAACTGTTGCTATGCAATAAATCACTTAGTCGATAAATTAGAGCCTTTTTACAGGAACAGTACAATTTTTGAGTGAAAAATCAGGCAGTAATAAAAAAAATAATAAAATAGACCTTTAACATTGTAAAGGCCAGAAGCTAAAACCTTAACTTTGTAATAGCATTTGAACTGTTAACCTAGCAGCCAACTTAAAGTATTAACTATATAAAACACCAAAATCCTTTAGCTGATTTGTCAAATAAATCAGTTTTTATTTGTGGCTATGGGACATTATTTATGTGTAAGGCAGTGTAGTGAATTGCTAATACCACTGTAGCATTCCTTTTGCTTAGCTACTAGTGTGAGCAACCAATGGAACCCTTTTTGACAAGTTGATACCTTGTTTGTGTAAACCATTTGAGATGAAACTCTTGTAGCTTTAGAAATAAATGGTTTAAAGGCCAACCTCACCCACCACACTCCCCCCAACTATTATTTCCTTTTTAGAGCGTGACATGATGATGTGAGGGAACAAATAAAAAAAACAAACAGCCATCAATAAATTTACAAATATACACACAGCCTCACTAAAAGCTGCTGCAACATGTTACCTCCAATTAATCCACAGATAAACACTCATCCGCTACACCAAACGCTAGTTTTCGCTGTCCCTGATGGACCATGAAAGCAGAGCTCTCCCATGGTGCGCGTTTCCACTGGGACACTTTATACTGCCGGACCAGGAAGTTCAACGGTGCCAGCGTCAATATGTTTAAGGTAAGGTTCTGCTACGAGTTGAATAGTGAATCTGCAACAGTGGGTATTTCACTATTTGCTGATGTTGAACTATATGGAACTTACTAATGTTGGTATACTGTGTTGTTAGTTTACGATAGTTTAAATTTAAGCGGTTTAGCGTTTAGCGTGTCGGGCTGTATGTCCGCAGTGTATTGTGGGTAATGTAGTTTATGTTACCTGGGCGCTATTTCTACTGTTCAGAACATTAGTACCTGGTAAACGGAAAACAGTTGAAAAGCCCCCCATACCGTTTACAGGGATTTAAAAGTTTTTCTATCTTTCACTGTAAATACAATACAATAATCGACTGGTTCTTGTGTCAAATTAAGATTGGCATTTGTTTTTATATTTTAACTTTAAAAAAAAACCTTTTCTGTTCCATGTTGAGTTGAAGTTTTCAATTTTAAATAACATCCTCACTGCCTAGGATATGTTTCCTTGGTGACATGAAGTCATGAACATAGCCTACCGTCATTGTGGGTAAGACGGTGTTCTGTCGGATCAGCAGACGACCTTCACTAAACTTCCCAAGTCCCAAGTTCCTAATTAAAAATAAATGAGTAAAACATAAGGAAAAGTCATGCACATTTATTTGGTTTTGTGGTTGAAATAGGAGACACAATTATTCAAACATCCGACATAATAATGACATAATAATATGCATATTGGATTATACAGTATTCACGCTTTATAGTGTTCTACAATTTTACATTTCACAAGCTAACCAAGTTCATGTTTGTCTCATGCAAATTTACTATTAGTAACACGATTTTTAAAGATTGGGCTGCAGTCCCTTGTGCACTGGTTTATAGGTCAATGTAGAATTTAATTACTAGATTACATGTTTTTAAGTGTAAGCACCCTACATACTGTTGTTAAGGCTACAAGTGGATACAAAATTACTTACACACTTTTTGAAAATAATTAAAATGCTTGTCACATAATTACATTTCATTGCATTTTAACGTTTTCGAACTACAAACAGACACTTTTGAACCTGCCTTTTGATATAACAGGCAAGTGAAAATGTGGAAGCTCTTTCTAATCTCTAATTTACTATGAAAACACTTTGTGAAAGAATTGCCAGAAAAAGAACTGTACACTGTTGGTGAAAATGTCACCAAAGAACGGTTGTTTCTTTAAGAGAGAGGATGGCTGTTGATTCTTGTTCTTGTACAAATTCAGCTTCATCTAAGCAACATTGTTGACAAAGTGACAGATGAGGTGAAATCTCTAGAGCTTTTTATACTGCCTTCACCGAGCCAAGCTTTTCCACTGGGTCTGTGTTCTCAGCTGCTCAGCAGCACAATGATGTAGATCAGCAGCAAACAGATGAGGATGAGGGTGAAGTTGACAAACAGCTCCTGAAGGTTTCTCTTGGCTTGAGGATTCACTTCGATTTGAGACGCTCGGCGGATGGCTGTCTTGGTCATGTGCTGAACGCGCTCCATGATGACGAGAAGGTAGATTGTGACAGGCTGGAAGAAAAGAGATTTGTCCAAACTGATGTTTGTTGATGGAAGATGAGCTGAAGTGAGCTGAAGCTTGTGTTCTGGTAAAGGTGTCTTTTCTATATTCTCCTGTTTGAGTAAAAATACATTAAAGATGTATTATGTGGATTTAACCAAAGAATCAAAGTGAAATGAATACTTTGTGCAGTACAAGAAGTATGTGTTGATTATGGAGGACTAAAAGTGCCAACATTAAATATTTACTCAAATGTGTGATTAATTAATAAAAATATGTATTAATTATTTATGTAAAATCATAATGATTTCACTATTTAATTATATCATGGTCCTGTGTTGCAGTGCATCATGAATTAATTTTGTCTGTTAAACTCATCACATCATCCCAACTCATCCCAACCCATCAAAGTCTATGGGTGAGGCTAATGCTAATCTAGCTACAGTAAGTCTGATCCATTGGTCTGAAGTAGCATGTTTGCATTTGTTATCATTTAGGGCACGATCGCAGGTTCCTGTAGAATTCCTAGATGTTTTCTGTTCAGTCAAAAACACACACCACAGTCAGTGTAAGAATACTGCTGTTCTTCTCTTACAATAATTTCCCACCACAGTATTTATTCATAGTAACAAAGATAATAGAAATGGGAGACAAGGGAATGTAGGCAGCTGTGATCAATGAGCTTTACACTGCTCTGTGCTCCCAAGGCTGATTAACAACATTTTTTCTGTTTTGCCAAGTTTTTTTTCTATTTTTACCCTCCCTTTGTCCTTTGGGTCTAGGTGACCTGGTGGCTGATAATATACCACCGGGATAACCGCTGAAAATGACGAATGTCATACACAACAACAAATCTACTACCCACATAATCAGCCACCTGCTAGACCCCCCCCCCCCCCACCATCACCACCACCACCACTACAGTTGCAGACAATTATTAAATTATTATGCCATAGGAGAATAAAAATGATGACATCACTGACATCCTCATATTCTAATAGAGAAGTGATCAGTCACACACAGTAGCTGTCAATCAAAATATGTTCCCTGAGAAGTTTACCATCATCATACCAGAGAACAATTGAAATATTTCTGTGCTATACTCCTGCTGCAGCAAATTCAGTTGAAGTGACTGAGGCCATTAACTAACATAAACATAGAATCGGTATTTTTAGGGTAGTTCCTGCATACAACAGGTAAGTTTTAGGTTAAAGCCCATTTTTGAGTTGCTTTTGTAAAGAAAAATTAGCTTGAAAATGCAATTTAATGGTGAAAAAAAGTTAACTTAAGTCAAT